CTGCTGGGGAAACAACTGGCCTCTAGTTAACAAGGGTGCTCCCTCCACAGGGTACTATTCTCATGGGGGAGGGGTGGACAGAGAGGAACAAGGGCAGGAAAACCTCAGCCTCGCCCTCTCCAGGCGTCCGTCAGATGTCTGAGTCCTCCCCTCCCCAAGCTCCTCCAGTGCAAACACCTCCAGTGTCTCATCAGATACACTTCTCAGGATTAGTCCCACCTCTGCAGACTGTGTCCTCCCAGCTCCCACAAAAGGCCCCAAAATCACAAACCTGCCTACAGCCTTCTCCTGAGCCAGCACCTTGCAAGATGAAGCCCCTGGGGGAGCTACCCTGTCAAACCAAAGCTCCATGGAGACCCCAGCACCCCATCTCCACCGCTGGGCACAAGCATTGCCCCCACACAATAGGGCCCAGCAGTGGGCTGCGAGGTAGCAGAGAGCCTCATAGTGGGAGTGAAGGGCTTAGGTAACCTGCTGGGGTAGAAGACTGCACCCCCAACCCCAGCCCTTGGCCCTGACTCCCGCCTCAGCTGGGCTGCTGGTGTTCTGTCCTAGGGTGGCTTCCTGCCTCTCAGGAACACAGGAAGCCAACATTGTTGGGATCTAAATGGCCTTTTCCTCCTGGATTCGGGTTGGAAAATGAGCACATAGCCTCTGTGTGCACCTGACCCTGGCAATAACCACTCACATGCCGGGTGGACCTCAGCTCCTTCCCTGGCTGGCAGAGAGGCACTAGCCTAGCCGCACACCTGCTCATCATGCCACTCAGCCCTGCCCTGCCTGCTCATCTCCACAGCCTGGGCTAGAGGCATGTGGTGGATAATTTTATGTGTCAGCTTGTCTAAGTCATGGTACCCAGATATTTGGTCAAACGTTATTCTAGATGTTTCTGTGAAGATGAGATTAACATTCAAATCAGTAGACTTCACATAAAGCACATTATTCCCCATAATCTGGGTGGGCCTCGTCCAATTAGTTAAAGACCTAATAGAGAAAGACTGACCTCCCCAAGCAAGAAGGAATTCTGCCAGCACACCACTTTTGGACTCAAACTGCAACTCTTCCCTGGGCCTCCAGCCTCCCTACAGATTTTGGACTTGCCAAGCCTGCAAAATCATGTAAGCCCACTCCACAAAATCACTGTCTCTCTCTCTCTCTCTCTTTCTATCTCAACACACATCCTGTTGGTTCTGTTTCTCTGGAGAACCCTAATACAAGGTGTCTTGGGGGTGGTCCGGGGGCACAATGTGGCTCTGAAAGTGGAACAAGAAGAAACCTTCTAGATCATCCCATCCAGTGGTTTTTGAACTATTTTTTCAGGGAGGTGGGCTCTTGTGTGGCATCTTGATGATGTTAGTTAACATTTACTGAATTCCTGCTATGTGCCAGGCTCTGTTCTGAGCTCTTTGCAAATATTATCTCATTTCATTCCCACAGTGACCCGATGAGGGAGGTATTGCTGTCTGTTCCATTTTAAAGGTGAGGGAACCGAGGCTTAGAGAGGTGAAGCAATCTGCCTGAGTTCTCACTAGTAAGGATCAAAGCTGGGATGTGAACCCGAGACTTCTGAGCCAAGTGCAAGATCACCACACCATCTAACTCCTAAAGCCAGAGCTGCTCTGACTGAAATGAGCAGGGGTTCCAGAGTCCTGGCCCCGTAAGCCTTGCCTTGGATTTCGGCTCTTTCCTACCCTCTTGAGCCCTAAAGTACCTCCGAGAACCTTAAGACTCCTTCGGAACACAGTTTACAATCTCTGATGTAGTCCAATCCCTCATTTTGAGAAAGTGGAAAGCCAAACCCAGAGAGGTTAAGTATTTCACCCAAAGTCACCCAGCCAGGCAGTGGCAAGCCATGAACAGAAACACAGGGTCTTCCCACCCTACCAGGCTGCCTCTGGTGGGTCCAAGGAGGTCCTCAGATACAGGGTAGAAGCCGGAAAGCAGGATGAGCAAAAAGAAAGACCTGCCGAGTCTCGCAGGACCTCTTTGCCTGTGTGTCTATTACACCTGTATGTCCCGCCGCCTTAGTTCCTTGTCTGCCTTGGTCATCTTCGAGTCTCCCACAGCCAGGACCAGGCCCCAGTTTCTTTGACTCCCATCCCCAGCCCTGCAGCCATATTCCCTTCAGTGTGAAATGCAGGAAGGAGGGGACCTGCAGGGTGGGGCAGCCAGGGGGGACAGCACAAATGCCCCAGGTCTAAGGAAGTTTCCTCACTGCCTGCTACCTCCAGCAGAAGTTCTCTCAATTCCACAAGCCCCATGGAGACTGTGAATCCAGAGCTTTGACATTCCATATGCCCACCTCCCCATCACCCCCAGCTTCTAATCCAGAGGATTGCCATGTTCTAGTCAAGACTTAAAGACTTGGAGGAACCAGAGAACAGAGCAAACCCTTTGAGTTGGGCTCAGTGAACCCTTTGAGGTGGGCTGCAGTTTAGTCTACACTGGACCCCTCAGCCAGAGAACAACCCATACAATCTCATCTGATCACCCTGGATGGATGGACAGATAGATAAGGGGGGTCTATCCACCTCAAGACACTATGACCTCTTGGTTCCAAAGCACTGAGAGTTGTTCCACTCCTGCATCTCCCACCAGGGAGCCCAGCAGCCCCTGGGCCTGGTGATCCCGGTCCCTCTTGCTGACGTGCACGTGCAGCCTGGAGAACCAGGAGTCTTCTTCCCTTCCCCCTGCTGGGGCTGACTCCTAGTCCTTCCGTGGCCCAGTTCTGACACCTGGCGGTGTCTCTGGAGTGTGGCCCTGGCTTGCTTCCTTCTTCCCACCAACTCCCCATCCTTCATGGCACCCTCCAGAGCTGCCCAACCAGCCTGGCCACCCAGCCTCCTCTCTGATTCACACCAGCAGAGCCAGGCTGGGATCTGGGTGAAACTGGGGCCATCTCTTGCTAATCTTAGGAGCCTTCCATTCACATGGGGTCAAATCCTCTCATCAACCCAACCCTCAGGCCAGGTCAACTCAGGAACCTAGAACCACAGAATATGGGAGCCACAGGAGAGCACAGCCAGAGATGTGCCCAAGGTCACACAGTGAGTGTCCCCAGGACTTCCTTCTACCCCCATCCCTGGGCTGCCTCCTATTAACAGCAGCATTGGGGGATCATGGGATGAGGGGATGACACCATGGGAGGAAGAAACTGGAGGGGAGAGCCAAAAGCTAACTTATGCAGCTTCACGGTGCAGGGCAGGGTGAAGGGCTGTTATAGAAACAAAATGCAAAACCCCGCCCTCAGCATTCCTCTCTGACATCTCCCCTGGCTCCCACCCTGAAGCACCACCAAGTCCCAGCCAGACCTCTTAGGAGGAGAGTGACACCATGTGGCTGACTTTGATATTGCAAAAGTTCCTGTTGGCCCCCTAAACTCACGCTGGGTGTCCCAGCCCTTCAGTTAAGGACCATAAACCTCTGCCCTTTGCCCATGGCCGTCCTTGCCTGTAATGCCCTCCATGCACATTCACACACTACTCACTCGCACACTTCCGGCCTTCCTCTCCTACCTCCAACACCCAGCCCACCCCAACCCAGACAGCTGTACGCCTGGCAAGAGACGTGACCACACTCAGCCTCAGTTTGCTCATCTGTAAAATGGAGGTGACGCCAGCACCTTCGAATGCTGTAAGCATTGAATGAGATCATGTATGTGAAAGCTCGGTACTCAGTGAGTGCTTTAGAACTTGTTCACTAGGTGCTGAGGTCCAGCCTCGCAGCCTCTGGGACTTTGACAGGAGGAAAACAGGAAGTGGAGAGAGGCCAGGTAGAGAGAACCACATGAGCAAAGGCTCCAGGGCAAGAAAGAGCAGGGCCTGTTTTGCATAGCTGACACAGCTGGCATATTCATGAACTGTGTGGTTTGAATATGAGTGGGGGGGCCAGGGGACATGGGCAGAGAGCTGGCAAGGCCTGACCCACTGGGCCTGGCAGCCGCTGGAAGGGGTCTGTGCTTTGTCTTAAAGGCAACAGGGGCACCCAAAGGCTTTCACCTGGCAACTGACACAACTAGATTTATATTTTTAAGTCCCACTGGAAGCTGGTATGGAGGGTGGATTGCAGAGGGTGGGTCAGGAAACAGAAGAAGGCAGAGGGGGCTGCATCAGTCATCTTGGTGAGAGGTGGCAGCTGAACTGGGTGGGAATGAAGCCAAGCAGCTCAGCGACTCTAGCTATATTCGGGGGCCCCTGGATTGGTAGGATGTGGAAGTGAAGGAGAGGGAGGCATCTGGTGGGACCACTGGATGAAGGTGTCAGTCACCGAGATTAGCTGCAGGCGCCTCCTGCTGATTTCATTGTGCACTCTGGGACAAGACACTGACTTCTCTTGAACAGAGACAGTCAAACCCCAGGCTATTCCAGGAGAACTGCAACTGAAAAAGCCTGGCAGCCAGCAGGTTCTCCGCTGAGATGATTTGGGACCTCGTAAAGCCATCACTAAGCTGCCATAGGGGAGGACTGTGGCTCGGCTTCTTTGTAGGACTCCCAGTGCCAGGGACATGCCACCCACGCACCTTCCACATGCCATCGCCATGACTTCCACATGGCATCCATGCAGCACCCACTTCCCATCCACATACTACAAGCACAAGACCCCCACTTGTCATCCACATGACTTCCACACACCTCCACAAATGCTGCAAACAGCTTCCACATGCCAACCACATACCCCCAACATGCCACCCCCTACTATCCCTGCACCTTCCACGTGCCGTTGTCATGCCATCAGTATGCATCCATATACCTTCTCCATGCCACTCACACACATTACATCTGTCATCCACATGCAATTATATGCCATTCCACACCACCAACACACAACTACATGCTTGCCACCCAGTGAGCTCAGTGTCCTCCACCATATGAGAACAAGGCACCAGGTCAGGACCCCCAGGACATTTGCAAAGCAGAGTCCCAGCCTGGCTTAGGCCTGGCCATCTCTTTCCCCTTTTGATGACGTGCTCCCCATGCCCCGCAGCCTGACCAACTGCTCACCTTTGCAAGTGAAACCCTCCCGGGTGATGACCTGTCGGCAGATTCCACAGGGCTTCACCTTCTTGAAGGTCTTCAACTTGAAGTGGTGTTTCTTGGGGGCATCCAGATCCTCTGGCTGTAGGAGGAAAGGCACAGGGATCAGAGCTGGGTGCGAGGCTAGATCCAGGGAAGGAGGTGGGGGGCTGGAGGAGAAGTAGGTAGAACTGGGGAGAAGAGGCAGAGCCCCTTCATGGGCCAAAGCAGGAAGGAGGTGCCCAGGGACAGAGGAGGGGGTGTGGTGACAGGACGTCCATCCTAGACCGCTAGACATGTGTGGGGTCAGGGGTCTTAGTCCAGACAACAACTGGATACTCCGGCACCCAGGGATCACAGGCTGCTCCATGGCTTCCTACCACTGATATTCTTTTCACTTACTCTATTATTAAGACATTACTTATACACAGTAAAGTGCACTAATTTTAAATGTATTACTCAGTAGAACTCCACCCACATACACGCCACATAACCACACCCCAGAAGGCTCCCTCATGATGCCTCCCAGTCGGTGCCTCCCCCATGGTAAATACTATGGTGACTTCTATCACCAAGGAATCATTTTGCAAGATTTTTAAATTTCATAGAAATGGAATTCTATGATATGTACTCTTGTGTCTAGTTTTTTCACACGATAGTAATCTGTGAGATTCATCCTTATTCTTGCGTACAGCTGTAGCTCCTCCTTTTTCATTGCTGTGTAGTATTCCATGGTATGATTGCAGCAAATTTATTTATCGATACTACAGTCAATGGTCCTTAACTTCTCTAACCCATATTCCCATTGTCCATCTTCTGTTGCTTATAACAGAACACCTGAAACTGGGTAATTTATAGGAAAACAAAATTTATTTCTTACAGTTTTGGAGGCTGGGAAGTCTAAGGTCCAGGGGACACATCAGTGAGGGCCTTCTCCTTGGTGGGAACTCTCTACAGAGTCACGTGGCAATACAGGATATCACATAGCGAGGGCAGCCGAGCAAGAGTGCCTCACATGCTCACTTGCTCTCCTTATAAAGTCACTCATCTCCTCCCTGATAACCCATTAAACCATTAACCCATTAATCCATGGGTGGATTAACCCATTCATGAGGGCATAGTCCTCGTGATCCAATCACCTCTTAAAGGCCCCACCTTTCAAATACCAAATTGGGAATTAAGTTCCAACATGAGCTTGGGGGGGACATTCAAACCACAGCACCCCAGAATGCCATTTCCCTCAATTCTCTCCCACTCTGTCACCCTCACCACTACCCCCTGCCCCAGCCCAGCAGGCTTCTTCCATCCTTTATTTATTTATTTATTTATTCATTTATTTATTTATTTATTTATTTATTTTACCCCACCCCCTTCCATCCTTATTTATTTTCTATTCTTTCCATTATGAAAACATGGATATGTTAAATATCCTATTTTAAACTACACCACCTCAAACAGCAGATGAGAGCCAGGCTGGTACCCAAGCCCTCCTCTGTGTCTGACTTGTTGTAAAACCCTGGGCCATTCACCACCTACCACAGGCCTCAGTTTCCCCCTCCATGTAGCATCACACTCCTTGAGCTCTGACAGACTGTCCTTTGTAACCATTAACCCTCTAAGCCACAAAGCCCTAAACAGACATTACTTAGGAGCACCCTCCTCGCACCCTGCAGACCCCACCCAGGCACAATCTGGGGAGCCCACCTGTTCAGAGGGCTCCCCAGGGAAGGCATCCCTTGCCCCAGGTATCTAACCTGATTCATTTCCTGCCTCCAGCAGCAGAGACCTTTCTGACACCCTCTGCACACACATGGGCACACTCAGAGACACAATCACAGATCCTACAGTGTGGGGAGGGAGATGAGGATCTGCTCTTTCAGGTCTCCCTCTTTGCAGCCTGCCCCAGAGCCTCACAACTCTGAGGAAAGGGCTGGAGGGGGCAACTGTGAGTTCAAAAGAGGAAGAAGCAGGGTCCCACAAGCCCAGAATGTCCAGGACTCCTTTCTGAAGACACTCCTATCTGAAGAGAGTCCTGGGTAAAAGAGACTGAGCCACAGAAACACAGACAGAAACACAGACAAAATGCGGCAGAAGCAGAGGCAGAGACAGAAAGCCAGCCAGCCAAAGAGGCACAGAGAGAGAGAAGCAGAGGGGGAGAGAGACGATAAGAGCAGGGAAAGAGAGGGCAGAGGAAGCCGACAGAGAATGACCGAGAAAAGCAACAGACAGAGAGGGAAATAGAAGACCAAGATAAAGGCAAAGACAAAGGAAGACAGAGAGAGACCAACAAGCCCACACAGAGAATGAGAGAGATTAGACAGAGACGCACAGAAACTAAGAAGGGGACGAGAGGATCAAAGAGGGCAGACAGACAAAAGGACACAGGAGCTCACAAGGCTGAGTCAGGGAAGATCTGAGCACCAAAATACATAATGACAGCAACAGCTTAAATGAATCCATACTGATGTAAAGAAGTAAATGAACAAATTGAAAGCCTGATAAGGAACAAGATATTCACATGGTATCAAAACACCTCCCCACATTATATCTATAAATTACAAAGCACAAAAAATAGTAACTTTTCCTGGCAGACTCCACTTTAATCAAGTGATCCAAGTTAACATCATCAGTAACGGGATGAATGGAAGTCATGCGCCGCAGAGGGGAGGCCCTGAGACCAGAACATCACTTCTGTGACATTCCTCCTAAAAGCCACAACATGAATCTAATCAGGAGGAAACATCAGGACAATCCAAACTGAGGAACAGTCTACAAATTAAATGGTCTGGAATCTTCAAAAGTGACAAGGTCATGAAAGTAGAGGAAAGACCTTGGAGACTTCCAGACTGAAGGAGACCAAAAGACGTGACAACCAAATGCAACAACTGATTCTGGAACTGGGTTCTTTTGATGCCCATAAAGGACATCACGGGGACAACTGGTGAAACTTCCATAGGGCCTGGGGATTAGTCAGTAGTAATGAATTGATGTCAGTTTCCTGATTCTAATGGCTGTGCCAGGTTAGGTAGGAGAATTCTTTGCAGGAAAATCAGGAAAGTATTTAAGGGTGGTAGGGTATCATGTCAGCAACTTACTCTCAGATAGTTCAGAAAGAAAAAAAATTATTTGCACTGTATTTGCAACCTTTCTGAAACTTAAGGTTATTGCAAAATTCAAAAAGACAGGCAGACAGAGATGGCAGGAGGCAGGGGGGAGCAGACAACAGCCCAGGGTAGAGGTGGAGAGAGCTGAGGGTAGGAGAGCCAAGAGCCCAGCAGAGCCCCCTGGTGGCTAGAGTGGACAGCAGAGCTCTGCTGGGCAAGTGCACTAGGCCATCCCCGGGTTCTGCTATTCCAGAGAGCTGGGTTCTAGGAGCTCCAGCTGGGGTAGGCTGAGGGTGAGGGGAGGGCACTGCCCAGCTCCAGGCCTCATTCAGTGTCCCCATCCCACAAGGAGAGGTAGATAAATCCCCTCCATTCTGCTGTCTCACCTCTCCTATTTTCCAGTCTCAGACCCTGGCTGGTTGCCTTTCCTTCAATCTCTGTCACACGCATTCCAGGGAGGGGACCCAGCCCAATGTCAACTGCAACAGCCTGGTCTTGGGGTGAGGGAAGCAGCAGGGAGGGGACTTGGGATTCCATTTAAGGATTGTCTGGGGCAGGCAGACAGGAAACCCTAAAGCCATCTCTTCCAGTCCTACTCTGGTAACCCCTGAGCCTACCTCTCCCACCCCACTAAGTCAGGCAGAGCTCCCCATTCCAGTTTATCCCCCAAACTTCCTTCCCCGAACCCCAAGTCCAGCCCTTCCTCCAAAGTCCAAGGAAAGAGGCCTTCTCCCTGAAGCATGGTGTTGGGGCAATAAAGTCTCCAGGATGAACAGATGAGCAGCGATCGGAGCCTTCTAAACTATTAAGCAAAAGCCCAGGCTTCTCCCAAAGGCCCGGGTTTGTCTGCCCCGCTCCCTCAGCCCCATAAATTCTGAGTTTACAAAATCTCTCCCTTTTTGGTCCCGGAGGGCAGAGACAGAGTTTCAGATACACGCTCTGACCTCACTCACAGCCTCTCTAAGCAGCCCCAGGGCAAGGCCCCAGGACACTCCTGCCCCTCACCCCCACCCCATCCTGGCTCTGGCTGAGGGAGCACTGGGCTGGGAGTCTGGAGGCCTGCCTTTTAGGCTGTATGGCCTTGAGAATGTCAGTGGCCTTTTCTGGGCCTCACAGTCCCCAAATGGAAATGAGGGGGTTGGACCAGACAATCTGAGTGTAGACAGAGTAGAGAAATGATGGGACAGTCCCTTCGGGATGAAGGGACTGGGGCAATGGAGGTGGGACATGCTGATGTCCACAGAGAGCGAATGTCCAAGGAGACATCCCCCCTTTGCTGAGAGGCTGTGAAACCCCAGTGGTAGTGAGGAGACCAGCACTGCCACCCCCAGGCAAGTGGCCCGGGTTCTGCTGGCCTCGGCTTCCCCTGCTATGAACAGGACATCTGGCGATCTCATCGAAAGAGCCCCCGCGTAGGTTTGAATGTTCACCAGGATGCTGGAAGGGAAAGTCCAGGGTGATCTAGCCTCCTATCTTCAAATGAAGGAGCTGTCATTATAAAATGGGACCAGACGTCATCTGTGAAGTCACAGAAGGCAAAACAAAAACCAGTTGGTAGATGCTGCAAGGAAGCATAATTAGACTCAGTGGGGAAAAAGAACATTTCAACAATCAGAAGTTAAAATCCAGGCTAAGAAAAAATATGGGGTGTCTAGTACCTCCCCTGCCCTCCCCCAGGGTGGCTCTGCAGGTACAGGCAGAGGATGTAAACGAGCCCCATAAAGTGCAAAGTGCCATTCAAGGGTAATGGCTTGTTATGACAATGATCATCATTTTTCCTGACAAGTGGCAGGCAGCTTCATGAAGCACACCCCAGCCCTTCCCTTGCCAGATTAGCTGGTAAAACTCAGGGACAGAGGAGCCATGGCCACAGCCTGGTCTCTCCACACACACACACACACACACACACACACACACACACACACACACACACACACACACGTCTCTCCATCCCCCACCTCCCTCAAGAGCTAGAGCCCAGAAAAGGGAAAGGGGTCCCAGCCCAGAAGTCATTCTGCCCCGCCCTCCAAGCCCAGAGCCCTCGCCCTGCCACAAGCCCACCCAGCATCACAGGGCTTTCCTGGCCCGCAGGGGCATCCTCTCCCTCCCTCCCTCCATTCAGCTGCGCCTGCCTGCCAGGGCGGCCCAGCCAGAGGGGTGCGGCACATCTGGCTTGGACAGCCTTGGCAGGAGTCCTTGGCCCTGGGGTGGGAAAGGCTGTTTGTTGGTTCCTCCCTGCCCCATGGGGCAGAGTAGTGGTGGGGTGGGGGGATGAGAAAGGGGGGGGTGCACAAGGGGTCCTCCGGTTCATGGCTCCTCCCCAAGAAGCTTCCCCAGCTCTGTCCCCCACAAGGGTCCCTGTGGCCAAACAGCCCTGGATGAAGTGGGGAGACGGCAGAAGTCTGCAAGCCAATGAGCAATGCAGCCTGGGAAAGGGGTCACCACCAAACAGGCCTGAGGCAGGGAAAGCTACCTCTACCCTATCCCTGTCTCCTGGCCATCCATCCCTCAACGTCCTGTCACCCTTAGGTTGGGAGGTTTAGTTGACATCAGCAATCGTTTCTATGGGGAAGCCTCAGATCCCCAAATGGAGCTGCAGGGGTCCCACAGGCACCTCAAATTCAAGCTC